CCCTACTGATGAAGGTCGCCGCAACGGTAATTCAATTTAGTACGAGAGGAACCGTTGATTCAGATAATTGGTTTTTGCGGCTGTCTGACCAGGCAGTGCCGCGACGCTACCATCTGCCGGATAATGGCTGAACGCCTCTAAGTCAGAATCCGTGCCGGAACGCGGCGATGTTGCCCCGCACGTCGTAGTTGGATACGAATAGGCCTCCGGGCCATGCACCTCAGCAGGCTGGCGACGGCTCCTAGGGAGAAGCCCCTGGGAGCTGGCTGGCGAATTGCAATGTCACCTCGCGCGGGGATGAATCCTCTGCAGACGACTGAAGTGACCAAGCGGGTCGTGTACGCGGTCAAGTAGCCTTGTTGCTACGAGTCGCTGAGCGTCAGCCCGTCCTTGGCTAGATTTGTGTTATACACCTCCCCCACTGACAGGTCCGGCAGCGCCGGGCGGTTGGAGGGGGCCTCTGGGATGGGACTCCCGGCCGTGAGCCAGGGGTCCCTCCCTCCTTCTCTTCGACCAACTTCATTCGCCAGTTGGCCATTCGACTTCGCCGGAGAAACCCAAGCGAGGACGGAATGGATTCTGCATCGCGTTGACTTGACTCGAGCGGGATCAAGGCAAGGAGGCCGTCCGGGCCCTCGTGCGCGACAAAGGGCCATTGACCAGTTGGCCGCGCGAGACGGTCGCCAGGACGCGGTGGGCCGGTGGGCGTCCCCCACGAATCACTTTCGGACCACAGAACGTTTGCACGCAGGATGGCCGGCCACGCTGCGCCGGAGCACCTGTAGGGCGGGGGCCAGGCAGGCAGGCGTCCGGTGCCCGCGGAGAGTTGCGTGCGTGCGTGCTGGCGAAGGGAATTGACCAGTTGGCCAGGGGAGATGGGGTGATGCGAGGCGCCGCGGGGAGAGACGGGCCGGGATGGGGGGTGGGACGCGCGCGGATGGCGAGGCAGCGAGGCGGCCAGGGGAGCGCCAGGATGGCCGTGGATGGCCGTGGATGGCTGCGGATTGGGGCATGCGGCGTGCAGGTAGCCCACTTTGTATGGGTGGTGTGGCGTGGAGTTGACCAGTTGGCCGGGTGAGATGGGCGAGTTGCAGTAGATAGACTACGGATGGTGATGGGATGAGCAATAATGGCTCTCCGTCTAACTGGAGGCGACGTTTACAGACTATTCATAGCCGAGAATGTGTGGTTCCTCGTCACAGAGGGCGGTCATCGGCCGCCTGGTGTGGTCCGGCATCGTGCTACTACAGAGAGAGATATATATGTATATACATATATGTATATATATATATATATCGCCAGGGACCACCTGGTAGTACTTGGTAGTGATACAACATAGCCAGCCGACGGCTCCGACCAAATCCCCCGTTCGTCGCTCAAAGTACATACGAAAACAATATATCCAATGCATCATGTAGATAGGTAGATATACAACAGATCCAACCCAACATGTTATATTCCACATCGTGGACACGCCCCGTAGCATTCCTTGTAGGTATCCTCGACCTAGCCCACCGACGGCGCCTCTCATGCAGGTTCGCACGCAGAACGGGCCGGCAGATCCACAGATCGATCTCTCCACATGGCCATGCATCGACACCTCGGACCGTTAACCGGCGTGACTGGCGGGTGGGCGGAGGAGTGGAAGGGCACAGGAGTGGGTGTTGGCGCCGCGGGCGGCCGAGTGCGGTTTGCGAAAACGAGCACAACGGGCGTACCGGGCCGCGAGGATGGACAAAATGCCTAAGTCCCCTTGCAGCCCGGGTAGGGGGCATGTGCGGGTGGCCCACTTTGTATGGGAAAAGCGGTCGACGCACGGACCACCACATACTAAACGACTCCCCCCCCAGTCACTTTTGGACCACCGAACGTTTGCGCGCCGGTCTGTGGGCCAGGGAAGGCCGGTGGTACTATGTGGAAGGTGAAAGGCAGCTGATCTCAGCTGCTGGAAGCCCACCCACACTTCTTCCCTGCCAGGCAGGTCACCTCTCCGTGACTGGTGGCGCACAGGTCCTTCGGGGCCTCGCTTCAGGAACGGGGGTGCCCGCCCACCCCGGCCCGTTGGTATTCCTCCCGCGCGGCTGGTGTGTTCTCTGGTCTTAGGTGCTCTGCCCCACGGCTGCGAGTCGACTGGAGGTCCGGAGTGTCCCATGCGGACGCGCCCGTGACCCCTGAGATATCGTGCCGTGGGGATCTGTAGCTTGCCGAGTCAGAGACACGCCGGCTTAATCATGCCCGGGGGTGCCCGTTGTTGCCGGGGTGTCTGAAGTCCGGGGGCCGTTCTCGGTCCCCGGCACCGATGGAGTCTGTGGATCGTTGGCCGCTGGCCAGCCTTCTTTTACAGATTCCCGGGGGGAGCCGCCCCGCGGGAGCCGCCGTTCGTCGGCGTGTCCGCGGGGTCTGGACCCTCCACCCGAGGGCCGTATGCCGCAGCCTGCCAGCGCCTGCAAGGGCGATTCCTGGCCGGGTCTACCTGCGTGCGGACCGGTTCCTGGGGGGCTACAGTGGGGGCAATTGGATGGTCATCTGTGTACTCCCGGTGCGCCGGGGGTGTCGCTGTGGCCGGGCACTTCGTGTGCCCCTTCCAGAGTGAAGCCTACGTTACACGCTGCCTCTTCGGAGGCTTTGGGGTGCGTTTTGCGGTGCGTATCTCCGGATGCGCTCCCGGACACACCCTGCAGGAACTAGGTATCTGGTTGATTCTGCCAGTAGTCATATGCTTGTCTCAAAGATTAAGCCATGCATGTCTAAGTATAAGCACTTTATACTGTGAAACTGCGAATGGCTCATTAAATCAGTTATCGTTTATTTGATAGTACCTTACTACATGGATACCTGTGGTAATTCTAGAGCTAATACATGCTGAAAACCTCGACTTCGGAAGGGGTGTATTTATTAGATAAAAAACCAATGCCCTTCGGGGCTCCTTGGTGAATCATAATAACTTAACGAATCGCATGGCCTTGCGCCGGCGATGGTTCATTCAAATTTCTGCCCTATCAACTTTCGATGGTAGGATAGTGGCCTACCATGGTGGCAACGGGTAACGGGGAATTAGGGTTCGATTCCGGAGAGGGAGCCTGAGAAACGGCTACCACATCCAAGGAAGGCAGCAGGCGCGCAAATTACCCAATCCCGACACGGGGAGGTAGTGACAATAAATACTGATACGGGGCTCTTTTGGGTCTCGTAATTGGAATGAGTACAATCTAAATCCCTTAACGAGGAACAATTGGAGGGCAAGTCTGGTGCCA